GAGAAATAACGAACAAAACACCCTAAAAGAAAAGCAAAAGCAAAAAAAAGATACAAGCATACAAAATAACCTACCTAGCCAACACATAAACAGGAGACTGGCTGCAGACTGCAGGGAGCCAAGGATGGATATCCAACAAGTTTAACCAAAAAAACAAAAAATGACATCCATCTTGGGGATATATCACAACTACTAAAAAATCAAATTCTTACCTGTACAAGACACAAAAACAAAAATATAGAGATAGACGTGTCACACACCTGTAAAATACTGGAGAACGTGGCGTTCATGGGCCCTCAAAAAGGTGGTAATTTGACATATTCCTGCAGTTTTTGAGGGTCTGTTGACTCTGTAGACCCTCGATTTTCAGCCTTTTGTGCCGTGGAGACCCCTGTTTCCTGCTCCTGCCACTCTGTCTTCACATGAGGAGCTTAAATCGTTTCTTGTGGCCCTTTTTCTGTGTTTTTCTATTTGTTTCTACTCAGGTTTCTACTCAGGTTTGCGCTCTGAGGTGAGGCTGGCCGGGAAACACCAGAGAGGCCTGCTGTTATCGGCTCTGAACAGTTACTCCGTAATTAGAGCTCATTGGCGAGCGGCCGTCGTTACGGATGCTGGTTGTTAACGGTTACCTGTTGTTATGGTTACCGTGTCTGGAAACAAGACCTTGAGTACCACAGAGTGGGACTCTGCTCTCAGATCTCTCTCCCACACAGAAACACGGCACCAGGGCCAGGAGGTTTGGGACATTTTGTCATTTTGGTTTCTTTTGGTTTCCTCATTTACAAAATTTAAGCTTCTTAACATTAAAAAAACTCTTTAATTCCTTGATATTTTTCTCCCTAAATCAACGAAACTCTCACAATAAAAATAATTAACTTCTGAATTCTGCAAATGTAAATTATCTGGATCTGCTAAATGAGTCATTTTTCCATCTGAAGCTTAAATTTCTTCACATGACTTGTTATTTAAGGCTGAAAAGAGTGAAATCATTTCAAATTTCCTTTTAGAAACGAAGAGTGAGAAGCATCATGAGTCTTATTACTGAACACATGAGAATTTCTGTGCTTTTCTCTGTGTTTTTTGTCTGTTTTTTGTCTTTAATGGAGCTTCTAGAGTGCCTCTAAATCTGTCATATGCTTTTCAGCCATTTGTTATGTATTCATATCATGTTTTTAGGATGTGTGTTGATGCCTTTTAATCCTGATTTTTACGACTTTCTCTACTCTTACTTTGAGGACTTTGAGGTTAATCTGTGTTACATCATGGGGGTGCATCTTGGGGCAGGGTACTTTTCACGCAGGCCCGGGAGAAAGATTGATTTAAAGTAATCTAACCACTGACCCAACGCATCCCTTCAGTCTCCTGTCACTCTTCATATACTCCAGGATCCGTTTGCTTTGGATTATTTACCCCTTTTAAATCCTGGCATTTGGACGTTTTATAATGACTCTCATGAAAGCCAAAAGCCAAAATGTGTTGGGCAAATAATAATTGATATATCTATATATATATATATCCCTTTAAAGCCTGATCCAAGAATAAAACAAAACAGAAAATTAGTTTTTTTTTGGTTTTGAAGTCTTTATTTGGCCTTTTAACAAAATATGTGAAAAGAAAAAACAGAAATACATTTTTAATATTAATAATTTATTACTATGTGATAAGTCAGGATTATTTTTTGTGTAGTCTTCTGCCCCCTGTTATCAGGTGTATCTGATTGTGTTCAATAGGATTTTGAGCAAAGTTTTTACCATTAAATTATGCAAAAGGAGTCAGACGCAAAACATTTCAGAAACCGTATCAAATATGAAACATTTGGCATTACAGGGATATATATATATATTTTTTTTCTATCCAAGCCTGTGAGTTGTGGCCTCTTGGTCCCAAATCTGGAGGCAGAAACATACAGTGGTTACGTAACTGTGTACTTAAAACTTGCTCTTCTTTTGCCCTTATTTGCCGGTCCCGTCCTCTTGTACTTAAAAGTAGGAAACTCTCCTCATCTCTGCGTTTTTTTCCTGCTCCGTCCCCGTCCGCGTGACAAACAGGGTTTGTATTAAAAACATCCTACTGGCTGTATCCAGTGCGTGAAATCGCTGGATTGCCAGTGGCCAGTCTCCCAGAGAGATGGATGATGGGAGTTATTATTCATGGCTGCAGTAGTCCGAGGACAGTGCATTAATCCAGGGGGGGGGGGGTGCTCTCGGTTCTTATCGTGATGAGGCGGCAGCATTAGATAAGGAACGGGATAAATATAGTGCCCTTGCTTTGTTTTCTAATCCAGCCACGGGGCTGAGGAGCTAACCTTTAAAATAGGTCACCTCCTCTGCTTTTAGACACAAACGCTGGCCGCCGGTGGCCGCCGGCGCCGCGCGTCTTTGAAGAAGATTTAAGATATCCAGTGCTCAGTACTTTTAGGATGATCCTCTGAGGGTCAGCAGCTCTGGATGCACTCTAACGCAGACAGATGGTCGGACACCACTCCTCTGTTTGCTCTTTGAATGCTTCACTTCAAATGAGCAAAAGGCACAAAAATATTCAAGATTCGGGATTAAAATCCAGAAAAAAGGCATTTTTTTCTCCCCTGGGCCTCTAGAGCTGCCTCCTGTAGTAAAAACATGCCTCTGGAAACCGAACACACCACAGTTCACAGCTTTTTTTAACTTTTCATTGGGCGTAAATCTGCCTGGAAAAGATACAAATGTCATTATAAAGACGAACAGATCTTCAGCAACCAGCAGCTTTTCTCTGGAAACCACAGAAGAGAAAAATAAACCTCTGGAAGAGTCTCATCAGTTCAGATGTTCAGATTTTAGTCAATGATGGAGACTGTAAATGTTAAAATATGACTTTTTAATTCGAATTCTAAAAATTGGTGTTCTGAGACTAATGTATTCATTTATATTTTTAAGTACTTGCAAATAAACCTCACTTTGCCCTGTATATTTTAGGAAAAAGAAACTCAGTTTCCCAGTATATTCTTTTAAAAAAACTCCCTTTCCCCTGTATATTTAAGTAAAAACCTCCCTTTTCCTTGTAAATTATGGAAAAAAACTCCCTT